AAGGGGAGAGCGCCAAAAAGGGGGAGGCCCCGCGTACTCAAAAAAAAAAAAAAAAAAAAAAAAAAGTCATTATTTTAGGATATTATTGGTAAACGAGGGAAGAGAGAACAGGTAAGAAAAAATTACTCATTTGACCCTGATGTTTAAAAAACAGGCTCTTCAGAGTGGCCCAGAAACTATGATACTGGCATTCATAGAGAAAGAAACGCAAACTTTGTACAGTTGACCCTTAAACAATGTGGGTGGCAGGGGTGGGGGGCAGTTAAGGGTGCCACCCTTCTATGCAGTTGAAAAATCTATGTATAACCTATAGTCAGCACTCCTTATCCGCACGCAGGTCCTCCATATCCGAGGTTCTGCATCTGCAAATTGCAACCAGCCATGGATAGTGTAATACCGTAGTATTTACTATTGAAAAACATCTGGGTATAAGTGGACCTGCACAGTTCAAAACTATGTTGTTCAAGGGTCAACTGTATATGATTTGGCCTGCTGGTGAACAACATTTAATGATGATAATGTTATAAATGCTACTTATGATTTTCAAATTTTACTTTTTGAAAGATTTTATTGTTTATTTATTTTATTTATTTATTTATTTTTGGCCACGTCAGATCTTACTTGCAGCACATGGGACCTTCACTGAGGCATGCAGGATCTTTCGTTGCAGCGCGCAGTCTTCTCTCTAGTTGTGGCGTGCGGGTTTTCTCTTCTCTAGTTGTGGCGCGCAGGCTCCAGGGGGCGTGGGCTCTGTAGTTTGAGGCACTCGGGCTCTCTAGTTGAGGCACACGAGCTCAGTAGTTGCAGCGCATGGGCTTATTTGCCCCACAGCATGTGGGATCCTAGTTTCCTGACCAAGGATCGAACTGGCGTCCCCTGCATTGCAAGGCAGATTCTTTACCACTGGACCACCAGGGAAGTCCCTGATTTTCAAATTTTAGATCAACTGTGTGCCAAGTACAGAAAGTAGGTTATGCTTGTAAATCAACTATACTCAGTTTAAAAAAAAATTTTTTTTTTAAAAAGAAGACAGGTAATGCTTGTAGGCATAATATAATTATTAGCAACCTTGAAAATATAAATGTATAGCTAAGAAAAAATAGGATTTTGGCCAGGGTAGGGGAAGAAGGGAAGTGGAATAAAGAGAAGGGATACTAATAGAGGTTTAAATATATTAAAAATTACAAAGGCAACAATAGAAAACTTTAACTTGGATAAACATCAAACGGGAAGAGGAAAGGAAAATGGGGATGGAAATAATACAAGTGCATTAAGTCTCAATTTTTCATCTCAAGGAATCAATATACAACTGATAAATTTAATAAATTAAGTTGATAAATCAGAGATTAGAGGTATAAGACATCTTCTAAAATTCTAAAATCATCAGAATTAAAAAGGGAAATAAGAATTAAAAGAGAAACTGACTAGGATGTATAAATGGGGATAAAGAGTAAATAAGAGAAAACTTGCTATTCATCCTAAAATACTATTATTTGATTTATTCCCATTTGTTTATATTACTTTAATAAAATATACTTTAAAACTAATTATGTTCCTTTATTCTGGAATCCCAAAGTATTTTAGACCAGTCAGCCCATATCAAGTCTTCTTGCCTTCCACCATGCTCTCATCCAATGCTCTCCTTGCCTCCTCTACGATTCTGCCTCTCGGTTTATTACCACTCTCTCTACTAATGTTTGTTTGCCGTCTCCTCTCTCCTTCTCTTCTGTCTTAAGCCAAGACAAGTCTCCCCTATCCCAGGGCAAACAAAAAAATTTTACTTGATCGGAGCATTCTACATCACTCCTCTTCCATTGCTCTTCTTTCTTTCACTTTCCAGCTTGAAAAAATAGTCTATTTCCCCCTGAAATCTGGCTTTTAACACCAAATGTAATGATGCTTTTATAATCCTCATTCTACTTATTTTATCCAGGCATTTCACACAGATCCTTTCTTTTTAGCTTTTTTTCTAAGCCTATTTAGCCTATTTTCTGTACATAAATAGTGTAATATTTATTACCTATACTTAATTGCCTTTCCTTTCATAATCATACTAATGTGCAAGATGACTAATAATAGAACACAAACCTGAGTTAGAGAGACATTCTAAAGATACTGAGTCCAAAGCTCAAAATGACACACTGCCTCAATACAGTTACCTTATAGTAAATCTCAACATTCCCCACTAAAAACAGTAAATATCTTACAAATGAAGAGAAAAACAAGAAAAAAATAACTGCATAGGAAATCAGTGAATGAACTAAGAAGATTCAAATTCTGAAATGTGCCATTAGACAATATCCTGATTTTCTTTAAAATACAGTGAACTTTGACTTTTAAGTGTATTAATTTGTTGCTTTGGGTCGTTCATGTCTATTTGCAAGAAAGAGAACACATTTTTGGTTAAGATAACTGAATGGGAAAGACCCATATAAAGCATTAGTTTTGAGCCTCAAAGCTATCGGCAGAAGTAAAGAAACTAACTAATGGAACCATATTTATAAAAAAACTAGCTGATTTTATTATTATCAATGTCAAACAAGTCTTTAAATCAATTAATATTTATTTAATTAAGCATAAAGTTACTTTCACATTTGTCTACAACCATAGTAAATACAGTTCTTGGAATAAAGACACAGCCTTTGGAGTTCAAATTATCCCCAACTGCAAGATTACATATATATAAAACTCTCATTATTGTTTATGTGATAGTAGATGTGTTAAATTAAAATAATTACACTATCTAGAATAAAATAAGATGGAAATAATTTACTCGTAAGATTCATATTTAAATCATCTTTATTTACAAAATACTATCCTGAGAATTATAATTCCATTAAGCTTCAATTTGAGCAAAAATATAATCACTTAAGTAACAGCAGTTACTTAAACTGAAAATGAGAGAGAAGTCAAAATTACTTTTGAGGAAAGACCCAACAATATTGTCAAGTTTCTTGCTGTGGTTCTGGATGTTCAGTAGTAGACTCATTTGAGGGCGGAATCAGCCCTGATGGGAACTCACTTCTACTTTCAGGATGCGGGGGTGGAGGGAAAAATCCAGCTCTTGGGGGAAGATAATGAGGAAAACCTCTTGGTGGAAAGACATTTCTCACTGTTCAAAGAGATTGGTGAAAGACATTTTTTAACCTTCAGCACCTGTACTGCAGCCCCAGTAAATCATTAGCTTATAACTGCTAGTACCTATCTTTATTTTCAAAAGTTGACACCAGAATAATTACCTGATCTAACAAATGAATTTTTACAACATTGAGCAACACATATTCTCTTCAACTACACGCGATTAAAGGGAATATCATTAATCTAGGTGCAACTTTTTTGTCCTATGAAAATCTAACATCTTAACACTTTTTGAAAAGGAGAACAATTAGTTCAAAATCTAGTAAAACTTACTCTAAAAAAAGCTTTCATGTAATATAATTTTCACCAGACTTAAAACTCAGATCAGTAATTCCCAAGTCTAATTTGATACTATCCTAAAATATTTCCAGTTATATCAAAAACTGTCTTTAAGTTTCCCAATTAAAATTCATTTTAATTCACCTTAAGCTTTAAAAATAGAGGCGGAATGAGGGAAGGAATGACTATATTAGGCAAATGATAGGCTTTTCCCTAGTGTTTGGTAATCCTGTATTTATTCTGCTGAAACCTATAGTTCCAAATGGCAATGCATAGACATAAAAGCAATAATTATTCCGTTTTTCATATGTGAGGCTATGAGGAATTTCAATAAATTCAACAATTAGTCCAAACATGATAAACACATTTTAGGTTTTAAACAAATAAGACTTCATGGGAGCTACTTATGAAAAAAAACGATTTTAAAAAATACTTTAGCCAGTCATTTTAATGCAAAAATATAAATTGAAATTACTTTTACTAATTGACAGAGTACCCAATTTCTATCAAATAAGATACAAACAATTTTAGTCTTAACATAAGACTGCTGCAAAGAGCCAATGATTTTCTTGATTACTGAATCATAGAAATAATTCCACATTATTAAGATGAATCAAGTTGAAGCCTCATTACTGATGAGGCCTCATTACTGATGGCTGGCTATCTTCCCAATCTGGAAAAGTAATGGCACACTCACAGAAGCTGAGAAAAATTTTTCTCCACTGTATTACTACATGAATAGAAAGTAAAATTAATATTTCTGATCTACTCTATAAGACATATATTAAGCTTAAAAAAAAAGCATACTTGCAAATGGAGGAGGTGCTGGGCCAGGGAAATCCCTTCGTGGAAAATAATCACGGGAAGCTCCGTACATGCTTCCTGGAGGAGGTGGAGGAAAAGGAGGACCCCTTCTAATGAAAGGGCCCCTTGTACCCATTGGAAACAATGGGCCTCTGATTGGAGCGTGAGGTGGGGGAACCAAGCCAGGGCCAGGTGCTTCATTTTCAATGGGATGAGATGAATCAGCCACGTTTAAATTCTACAGCAAATTGACAAATGGCAGTCATTAAACAACAGCAAAATTTGCAATAGTTTTCCTGAAAAGCTTAGGCTTAGAAGAAAGCATCTAGGCACCTAGGCAGAAAGCAGACTATGATATCCTAAAAGGCTCCAGAAAAATATTCGGTTTTCTACATCAGATGAATTTTAGCTATCATGAATATTTTATTAACTCAACAGAAAACAGCTTTAACCAACAAAGTAATAATCTAGCTAAAGATAAAACATAAGAATAGTCCAAGAGTACCAAAATATACATTTCTTTTATCAAGCATATACTGAGAAAAAGAAAAGATGCTTATGTTAATATTTCCAAGGTGACCAAAAACCAAGACTGAAAGCGCAGTAAACAGAAAACATACTTTAAAACATTAAAATAAAAATCCAAGGGGGAAAATTCAAGTTCTTGTTTAACTATATAAAGTAAATCAAACCTCAAGTCTGTACCTTGTACTTTATCACCATAGGGTACAATCCAGAAAGGAAATAGCTGTAATAGCTATATAGCTATATAGCTTCGTACTCCTTTTAAGTACGAAGTATATTTGTGGAAAAGAAAAAAGCAGCTTTTAATCAAAAACTAGATGGCTAGCTAAATTTCTGTTCTAGTAAACCAAGAGATTAGAAAGATCCTGAATACATGGATAAAATTCCACTTTCAATACTTACTCCAAGATCGTCTTTGCTATCATTTCTACTGGATTCCATTTCTGAAGACACTGGCCCATCTAGACATAAAAGTTAAACCGTGAAAAATACATGATTTATCGCTCCATTCTTAGATCAAGAGATCACAAAGGACACTGACAACCAGCTTGACACCAGCATCCTGTATTAGGGCCACAAGAACAGCTTGAGGTCCCTGAAAATTTAGGCAGACTCACGAGTTCTGCAAAGGCATGTGACTGTGGTTTCCCTATCCTGTGCCTAGGCAATCCTGAAAGGAGCATCATTAAGGAAGCTTCCAGGAGGTAGCATCCCTCTCCCTCCCTCCTTCCTTCATATTTCTCCTGCCTTCCTTCTTTCCTTTCTTCCTTCATTTTTCTCCCGCCTTACTTTTTTCCTTTCCTTTCTTCCTCCCTTCTTCCCTCTCATCTTTCCTTCCTTATTCCTCCATCATGTAACACAGACTAACAATTGGATTAGCCACTGTTTCAAAATAAATGTTTCTGGACTTTATCATCAAGAACTGCTCAGGGGGCTTCCCTGGTGGCGCAGTGGTTGCGAGTCTGCCTGCCGACGCAGGGGACGCGGGTTCGTGCCCCGGTCCGGGAGGATCCCACATGCCGCGGAGCGGCTGGGGCGGTGAGCCATGGCCGCTGAGCCTGCGCGTCCTGAGCCTGTGCTCCGCAACGGGAGAGGCCACAACAGTGAGAGGCCCACGTACCGCAAAAAAACAAACAACCCTCTCTCCGACCACGACTACCTATCCTCTCCTAGCCTTCTCATTTAGTTATTCCCGCTATACCTGCCCTTGGATTTCAGTGAAGCTTCCAGTCCTCTGACCTCTCAGTTTCCTCCTATCTTCATTTCCTTCCCTAATTAACAGACTTCAAACTCCATCACTAACAGCCCGTCACTAGTGTACTTATCCTATTGGCCATTTTTCACATGTGCTTGACAACATTCAGCCCTGGATTAACTCAACTCTCTGCTTCCACTCTGCCTATACCTGAGCCACTTAGCACTTGCGGCAGTAAAACTACACCACAGAGCCATGTAGACTGTCTCCACTCCAGGCTGACAGACCTCCAGCCACATTTCCAGCTGCCTATTGCCTAGCCTTCCTTCTGCATCTTCTAAGCCAGTTTTCCCTTCAATTTGAAAACTCCATTCTCCTCAAACCTACTACACCAGTCACTTAGAAACTCCCTTAACTTTTTGTAGTCAAACATATAAATGTATCAGCCACTATATTCCTATGATCTCACTTCCTATCATGGGAAAGGATTCTTCTAGACAATCTAAGACCCTGATTCTGTACTGAGTCCCCCTCCTCCAGCTTCCACAGGGATCTTCCCCTCTCTGTTGCCTCCCTCCACCCTTTCTGCTAGACCCATCCTATCAGCAGGTCTCTCCCAACTACTATTTTAAAATAAGACAGAAAAAGAGAATCACCCCCTTACAGCTAGCTCTCCCCTTCACAGTGAAAAACTGTTCTATATATATTATTCAGAATGCCTCCCATTTTGTCCTCACTGCAATCTAAGTGCAACATCCACTGCTCCACTGAAGTTACTTCCCCCAAGATAGAAAAGTCTCTTTTTTTGCTAAATTAAAATAGAACTTTTAGTCCTCATTTAATTTTTTTGTTTGTTTGTTTGTTTGCGGTACACGGGCCTCTCACTGTTCTGGCCTCTCCCGTTGCGGAGCACAGGCTCCGGAGCGCAGGTTCAGCGGCCATGGCTCACAGGCCTAGCCGCTCCGTGGCATGTGGGATCTTCCCAGACCAGGGCACGAACCCGCGTCCCCTGCATCGGCAGGCAGATTCTCAACCACTGCACCACCAGGGAAGGCCCCTCATTTAATTTTATTTCTCACCATCGTTGACTACTCCCTCCCTCTTTAAGTCTTCTCAGCCTTCAACTACTGGGATGGCACCCTCTCTACCTCTCCTTTCTAGCTGCTCCTTCTCAGTCCCCTTGGTGGGCTCCACTACTCCTCACTGGTGTCTCCTCAGAGTTCCACCCTCAGCCCTACTCTCTTCTCATTCTTGCCTTGAGAAATCTCATCCACTCCTACAGCTTTAATTTGATGTATATCACTACAGACCTCCAGACGTATAATTCAGATCTAGATATTTCCTCCAGGACTTCAGAGCTTGAAATAACTACTTGAATAGTCGTGCAGGTGTATCACAGGTGCAGCTAAGTCCGTAAGTTCAAAACGTAACTTATAATCTTTCCTGTCAAATGTTCTGCTGCTCCTTGTTCCTTGTCTCCAAACAATGAATACTCCAAGTGCCCTAGCCAAGAACCTGAGCATCAGCCAAGACTCCTCCTCCTCCCTCACTGCCACATGCCTTCAATCTTAAGTCCTCCCAATTCTATCTTTTCTGTGTCTGTTCACATCTATCTGCTCTGCTAAGTCACCACCATCAACCCTGTAGACTGGTCACAGTCCCCTAAAAAGTTACCCTCCTGGGCTTCCCTGGTGGCACAGTGGTTGAGAGTCCGCCTGCCAATGCACGGGACACGGGTTCGTGCCCTGGGTCTGGGAGGATCCCACATACCGCGGAGCGGCTGGGCAAGTGAGCCATGGCTGCTGAGCCTGCACATCCGGAGCCTGTGCTCCACAACAGGAGAGGCCACAACAGTGAGAGGCCCACGTCCCAGAAAAAAAAAAAAAAAAGTCACCCTCCTTCCAACCTTTAACCGCACCCTCCAATCTATTCCCCATAATGTAACCAGAGCAATTTCTCTAAAATGCGGATCTGATCTCATTATTTCTCTGTTTAAAGTCCTTTAATGTGTTCCTATTATCCTGCAAATAAGTCCAATATTTCTGAACAGGTTTGCAGGTCCTTGAAAACTTTACGCACTGCTTACCTCTTCACTACTTGTTTCAATATTCCCTGACGTGCACCTTCCACTCCACGTTGCAGCCATAAATTAAGAGGCATTCTTAATTCTAAGTCTTTAAAGATGCTATTCTTTCCTCCCAAAACATTATCAACATCATTTTGGCCCAGCTAATTTCTCCTTTAATTCTCAGCTTATACGTCACTTCCTCCAAAAAGATTTTCTTGACAATCCCACATTCAAAATACCGCCACCTAGGGCTTCCCTGGTGGTGCAGTGGTTGAGAATCCGCCTGCCAATGCAGGAGACACGGGTTTGACCCCTGGTCTGGGAAGATCCCACATGCTGCGGAGCAACTAAGCCTGTGTGCCACAACTACTGAGCCTGTGCTCTAGAGCCCGTGAGCCACAACTACTGAGCCCACATGCCACAACGACTGAAGCCCACACGCCTAGAGCCCATGCTCTGCAACGAGAAGCCACCACAATGAGAAGCCCACGCACTGCAATGAAAAGTAGCCCCCGCTCGCCGCAACTAGAGAAAAGCCCGCGTGCAGCAGCGAAGACGCAATGCAGCCAAAAACTAAATTAAATAAACAAATTTATAAAAAAAAAATACCACCACCTCCCATCTGGGTTAGTGGCTAGTGGCCCATATGCTCCCATAACACTTTGCACTCATTACTTTTGTCACTATATAGTGCAACTGCCTACAGACCTTTACCAGACCTCAAGGTATAAGGAATGCTGACCTATTCACCACTGAAATACAGCAGCTACCATAGTGCCTATCATACAGTAAGCATTCTATAGGTATTTAGTGCATCAAGGGCAGGGTTGATGCACTAAATTGATCCACTACCCTCTCATTTCAGTATAGGGATCAAGACAATGGCTCTGGAGTCATACAGACATGGGATCAAATCCTGGCTCTAATACCTCCTACCTGAGACCGTGAGCACCTTTTTGAGCTTTGGTTTCTTCATCTGTAAAATCAGGATAATAGCATCTACTTTATAGGTTCATTGTGAAGATTAAATGAGATAATTCATTTCATTCAATAAACATTTACTGAGCACTAGTGCTAAGTTAATGTATCAACCTATCTCTCACCACTCTCCTTCATGTAAATACCATAAACTGATAAACCAATAATAATATATTACATATATAGAAATTTTTCTATTTACAAAATACTTCCACACACATTAACTCATTTAACCCTCTTAAGATCTTGTATCAGGGGATTAATAGCTCAGTTTTACAGCCACTCTCCATCAATAACTCACGCTCTTTTGTTTTTGCTTATACTGTTCATTATTACCAGCACAGACCCTTACCTCTTAATTAATTTTTCAAATTCCCTCAAAAGCAGCTCAAATGCCACCTCCTTCATGGAGTTTTCCTTTATCCTTCAACTATATGGGAGCTCTCCCTTTCTGTGAACATAACATATTCTCTCATGGGACTTACTATTCTGACCAGTATTAGTTAAGCCTATATATTTGTCCTTCTCTCCTATTTAATTATTAGCTTCTTACAGCTAAAAACTATAATTTACTGTAATTATATTATCTACCGTGTCATGCAGGCTACCTTCCAAACAGAAAGCACTTTAAAATTATTTGCTAAACTGGATACTGTTCTATAACAAAAAAAAAATCGACATGTGAAAAATTTTAAATAGCATTAGTTTAGAAACAGATGTTCAATCATACATGTACTTTCATGCCATTAAGCTTGAATTAACGAGGGAAAACAATTTCAAAAGCCAAACAATTAGAAATAATTAACTTAATTATAATAACAGAAAAACAGGCCACAGGTCTGCTTTTTTGCCTTATTATTCAGAGAAGAATGAGTTTCTAAAATAATACATGTTTCAACTGGATAAATGCCCTATAATATATACCCTTTCTTGAAGAAACCTTCAACTCATAAATTTTAATTTTCCCCTTTTAATCTTTTTATTTCCTTAATGTTATGTACTTCTAATAGATACACTGGATATATATATTTCCCAACTTCAATGGGTTGCTGTGAAGTGGTTTAAGAAAAAGAGCCCCTGACAAATAGTTGATTGCTCAGTAAAATTTAAATCTACCTAAGCATGAAAGGTTTAAACAAAGGTAACTGATTAACCCATCAACAGAGTATGCACTCATATTATTTTTCTGGTAGACTGTAACATATCCATTCACACCAGCCTGATTTCCCTAATTACTAAACAGGATATATGTCAGTGGACTGGAAAAACTAGAAAATTAATCACGGAACACAGTAAAATTTACCATCTTGGGTTCATATAGTAAACTCATTACAATGGTGCCCAAACCAACCACCAACATATGTGCAGATGCCATGGATGCATACAAAATAACAAGAAACATAAAACCAGGAAGTTCTCAGGAAAGAGACTGTGGCCTTAAGAGCTAAGCAGAGATCACAATTATATTAGTCCTTTATGCAGCTTCCAGTTCTTTAGTATGCCACCATTATTTAAAAACACATACACACAAGTATTTCTTACCCGTTTTATCCAAAGATGGCATATTAAAACTTCTGAGTTCTGCTGGTCCAGAAAGTCTACCAGAATTAGAATAAAATCTGTCTTGCCTTTGTGGAGGAAGAACTGGATCAGGATACGGTTGGCCTAGAAAACATGTTTTTAAAATATCTTCATTAAGATAAAAATAAATCAAGTTTCCTTAAGCTTCATATAATGAATGTAGATATTTTTCTTGCTTTCTAAAAGACTGACACAGGGACTTCCCTGGTGGTGTAATGGTTAAGAATCCGCCTGCCAATGCCTGGGACATGGGTTTGAGCCCTGGTCTGGGAAGATCCCACATGCTGCGGAGCAACTAAGCCCGTGAGCCACAATTACTGAAGCCTGCACGCCTAGAGCCCGTGCTCGGCAACAAGAGAAGCCACAGCAATGAGAAGCCCGCGCACCGCAACCAAGGGTAGCCCCCACTCGCCACAACTAGAGAAAGCCAGCGTGCAGCAACAAGGACCCAACACAGCCAAAAATAAATAAATAAATTTTAAAATAAATAAAAGACTGACATATATTCTGGGTAGATAACAGTAGACAATTTTAGGAAAATTACACACTTTACTAAAGGCAATAACTTTGCTTTTGTAGTAAACACAAGTATAAATGCTACCCTGGAGTTTGACAGATTCCATTACTATGTGTAAATTAGAATATATGAATAGAATTTAGTTACATATATTAACTTTCAATTTTAATAACAGTGGAAGGAAGCAGATACATCAATATATCAAAAAAGGCTTTGAGGAGCTAGCTACTAGCAAAGAAAGAAAAAACAGAATATGCTTTAAACATAGCAAGAAATTTAGCAGAACTGACAACGATAAAAGAAATGGTCACCAAAGCAGAAAGAGTATCATTGAGGTCATCAAGTAATCAAATTTTCAGTAACTTCAACATTTTGGAATTTAGCATCCCTCCAAAACTAAAGGGAAAGATCTCTGACTCAAAAGAGGAATGGAAGGTTCACAATACTCAGATTAAGGATATCTGGAGAGACACAAATTTAGGCACAGACTCTGAGGTGCTTCTACAGCCAGCCTCCTTTGTCATTTACAATGACAAAATGGTAATAATTCATGGGTCCTTGTGGAACTCATCATTCTTGAAAAAATATAGGTAGTCTATCTCATCTCCGATAGGTGATGGTAGACTTCGATAGATTAAGTAGGCATTTGCCAATCTCCAAAAATATGGCAAAGGACAAAGGGGATAAACTGTGTGACTCTCCCCCACTCTAATAGATACAGACAAATGGCCTCAAACTACCTTCCATGACTGTCTCAGGCTGTGGTTCATAATGTGAACTCCATACAATGTTGGATATGTCACTTGTCATCTGACTCAGCCACATGGGACCTTATTGACACATCTTTCCCACACAAAGCCAAGGATACCACCTGGCAACAACTAGAGTCAATGAACAGAATTATATTTAATGAGGTCTCAAGGGTCAAGGGATGTGACTTAGAAGAGGAAGATCCAGATAGTCTTGAAGGCTCATTTCCGCCCCCTTTCAGAGCTGTCTCAATGGTCTGAATGAATTAGCCCAGTGGAAGAAAAGGCCAATAACAACCACTGAGATCTAAACTGAGTTTTCCCTTTCTACTTTAAACATGGGATTAATTAAATGGCAGAGCTGGGCAAGGGGATAAGGATAAGATGGGGAAACCTGAAAACTTCCCAATTCTTTCTCAATCAGCTCTCAAGATACCATATCATTATTTTGCTTCTAAAATACATCCCCACAATATCAATAACCTCAGAAATACAAAATTTTGCTACAAATATTCTATTTTATCAATCATATGTCCACACTGCCCTCCTCTGGGATAATTAAATCTACCAGCTCCTATTATGTGCCAGGCATTAGTGATACAAAGTTGGTTTTGATACAGTCTGTGCCCTTATGGTGACAGAAACAAATAAAAACAAATAAATTAATGCCTTAAATAAAAGGGCATACAAATAATATGAGAGATGGCCTATCTAATTCTGATTGGAGGAGTCAGAAATGATATCACAGAGGAGGTAAAGCTTGCCCTGAAAGAAAAATAAGGAAGGATGAACAAGTAAACAATGGTATTCTGGTCAAATTCAAATACACATATACATGTATATGTACATGTACACACACACAGACACACACACACACACACACATTTAATGTAATAAGATAAAACTATTTAGAAAGCATATGACCAATCAAAGACTAAAATACAAATAAGGACATGAATGGTTCCCTTCCTTTTTGCCTTTTTACCTTTGTTTCCTACCACCCTTCTAAGAAAAGAGCTGACTGAAAAGAAATAATGGGAGAAGGAAAAGAATCAGGGAAAAAAATGAATAAAAGAGTGGGAAGGAATGTACAGTGCATTGTGAAGCAATTTCGTAAACTAAAAATCAGAAAAAAATTCAAGATGTCTAGTTTAAACAAAAGTGTTATTCATCTCTTTTCATTCCAAAACAAATCTTGGATTGCAATAGTTCCTTGGGTAACTATTTAATAATTTGGGGGTCTATCACATAACAAGAACATCAGCATGGTTGAAAAGATAATTATAAAGATGGATAAAGGGTTTGAATTTTTTTTTAATTCAATACTGTTTGCTAATCAAGTACAATAAGCATCTTCACATAGAATGTGAGAAATAGTTTAATCTAATGATTAAGGAATTTAAAAGGAATGGAAAGCAAAATTTCCAGGAAGTAGTTGATAAAAGCATTGATATGGATAGGTTATGGCTCTGGAATAAAAAGACCAATGGTACAGAGAAAAGAAACAGACCTATGCAAATATGGACATTTAAGATAAAAGTGATATTTCAAATTGATAAACCAATATACAGTATTAAAACAACTGTCTATCCAATGGGGGAAAAAATAACTCTCCAACTAAACATTAAAACAAAAATAAAATCCAGACTAAAGGCTTAAAAATCAAAACAAAATTTTAAATATTTAGAAGAAAACAGAGAATATTTTTTTATCTAAAGATAAGTCTTAAAGAAAACAAAAATTCCATAAAAATAAATTAACTTACCTATAACAAAATGTGAAAACTTGTTTTTTGATGTATAACAATAACATACATAATAATAAGCTAAGAAAATATTTGCAAAATATAAAAGATTAGTATCCAAAGGATACTAAGAATTCCTATTAAGCAAGAGGGAAATGGATCAGGCAACTTACAGGAGGAAATACAAATGATCAATAAACATGAAAAGAGGCTCAAGCTTACTAATAATAAAAGAACTACAAAAAATAATCAAATAAAGACAAATGAGAAAACTTTTAACTCATGTGGCTGGAAATATTCAAAAAAGTTTTACGTCAGGTATTGAAGAAATAGCTACTCTCAAATTCTTCACACATAACTACTATTGAGGCCAAAGGGCAACATCTATTAAAACCGAAACTACACATATCTTACTTCCCAGAAATTCCATTAACTGGACTCATCTCTAAAGAACACGTGTAAAAAAAAAAGTGTTAATTGCAGCATTGTTAGTAATGGTGAAACACTGGAAACACCGTAAATGTTCATTAGAGGAGACTGGATAAGACTGGATAAATATATTGTGGTATATTCATATATTTATTTGTACAGCAATTAAAATAATAAACTTTATATTAAAATGGAAAGAATTCAAGAATATATGCTGATAAAAACGATAAAATAGAAAAATACTTTAAAAAAAATCATATATAGACTGTAACTTTACACACATTAAACTCATGAGTGGTTGCCTCTGGGAAAGAAGGAACGTAATGACCTTCGGAAACAGAATAGACTTCAACTGATATAGTGTGCTATTTATTTTTATGTTTTATGTACCCATTCTCTCTCTCCCCCTCTCCCTCCCTCTCTCTCTCTCACACACACACACAGCTACACATACACACACATATATATATTTATATATATATATATATAAATATATATATACATATATGAAACAAATATTAACATGTAAATTCTGGGAGGTGATATACAGTATTTTGCTATATTATCTATGTTTTTGTTTCTTAATCTGTAAAATGGGAATAACACTCTTAAGATTCTTAGAATGATTAATATAAAGCACTTAACATCTGACACAAAGTAAGCACCCCAAAATAACTGTAATGATAAATTAAATTTTTTATGATTATAAACTATATTAAAACATAGTATTGACTAGTCTCTTTCAAATCTAGGACCATAAGCTTCAAGTAGATATTCAACATTGCCCTGTAATCATACCACATTTCACTGACATTTAAGCAGCTTCACTCTCCTAAATGGCTACTGTGTACCTTTTTCTCCCTCCAAATCTCTGACAATCCCCTCCTCTCCTATCCCAAGTTAATGATCTTGCATATCAAGAAACTTGATGCAGGGATTTCCCTGGTGGCGCAGTGGTTAAGAATCCGCCTGCCAAAGCAGCAGACACGGGTTCAATCCCTGGACCAGGAAGATCCCACATGCCGCAGAGCAACTAAGCCCCTACGCCACAATTACTGAGCCCGTGTGCCACAACTACTGAAGCCTATGTGGCTAGAGCCTGTGCTCCTCAACAAGAGAAGCCACCGCAATGAGAAGGCCACACACTGCAACGAACAGTAGCCCCCGCTGGCCACAACTAGAGAAAGCCCACACACAACAATGAAGACCCAATGCAGCCAAAAATAAATAAATAAATAAATAAATTTATTTATTAAAAAAAAAGTATACGGAGGGGAAGTGACATAATTCACTTTTAATGCATATCTCTCTGCATTAAGTAGCACAAGATTTGCTGAGAATTAAGGTTCTCATTCTTCTCTATTACTTCTCTATTCCTAGAAAAGGAGGCTGTGAGGCTAGATAGAGGAACAGAAGGACACTGAAGTCAGAGCACTGAAAGATCAAGAGGGGCACTGAGAGGTCAAGAATACCAAAGAGTGAAAAAATGATAAAAACTGAAACTTCTTTCATTAAAGTATCTGTGGTTTTCTTACTTTTTTTTTAACTTAAAATTCTAACAAAATAAAGTATTTACATGAACTTAGACACAATTACTATCTTTCTTGTTAGATTCATGAATATATTACTCTGATTAATACCTGCA